GCATGAGCCAATTCCTCATAATAAATCCACATCTACATATGTATATATTTGTAGATATATATCATTATACATGTAATCTCCCCATCCTACTGGTTCTGTTTCTCTAGAGAACTCTGACTAATACAGGCCTTTAAAATGGTGGTTAAAGTTAAATGGGGCTATATAGGGGGGCCCTAATCCTATGCTATCTTTAAAGAAGGGGGAAACACACTTGCAGGCACACACACAGAGGCTAGAACATGTAAAGACACAGCAAGAAGACTAGCCATCTGCAAGTCAATGAGAGAGACCTCAGAAGGAATTAAACCTGCCAACACCTTTATTTTGAACTCCTGGCCTTCAGATTTACGAGAAAATAAATTTCTGTTGTTTAAGCCACCAAATCTATGGTATTTTGTTATAACAGTCCTAGCAGACTAATACAGGAACTTACTCAGTATTCCTCATATTTTTCTCCTTCCTCAAATGATTTGTTCCTCTTCTCTTCATGGGAAATTTAATCCATTTTTCAAGGCCAAGTCAAATGTCACTTCTTCTGTGAAACTTTCCCTAATTCTCTGCATTCCCATATTTTGACATATTTCTTTTATAGCACTTTTCACATTGTGTCAGTGTCTGTCTCTTGTATGAGATTGCAAATCCTTTAAGAAGAGCAATCATATAAACTCCATCTTTGAATTTCCAATTTCTATCTTAATGCTTGTTGGATGAATGAATGGACGAGTGAATGATAAAAGGAGATACAATTTCTCCTTAAGATGCCATACTCCCTGCTTCCCTCTAGTGGAGATATATATATATATACACACATGTATCCTCCAACACGGTGTGGAGATACTCCTGGCAGCATCCTAGCTCTTCATGGCTTTTTTCAGATGACTTGTTTTCCAATTTAAGCCAAATTTCCTCCTCCTGTTTTGGTATTACCATCCTCTACTCTTCTCATTACATCATCTACCAAACTCCTGGTCTGTCTTCTCATTTACTGAGAACTTTTGTACGAAGACCACAGTCCTTCTCCCTACGCTAACATCAGTAACTTCCAATCACATGTAGACCATCCTTCTCATGAATGGATTCAAATTTTTTCCCTCAATCCTAACATGTAATCCATGCCCTACTTCAGGAACTTATTACTTGGCCACACCCAGGTTTCATCATCACAAATATGTTTTCACCTCTAAATACTTAGGCTCTGTAGTAAGTCGAATAATGCCCCTCTCCAAAGATGTCCACATCCTAATACCCAGAACCTGTGACTATGTTACCTCACACGGGAAAAGATTTTGCAGATGTGATTAAGTTATGACTCTTGAGATGGGAAGATTATCCTGCATTATCCTAGAGGACTCAGTGTAATCACTAGGGTCCTTATAAGAGGAATGCAGGAGGGTCAGAGTGAGAGAAGAGGATGTGACAGCAGAGCACAGATCGCTGTAATGTGGGGCCATGAGCAAGGACATGCTGGCAGCTGGAAGGGCAAGAAAACAGACTGTTCCATAGAGCTTCCAACCCATTTTAGACTTCTGACTTCCAGAACTGTAAGATAATAAATTTATGTTGCTGTAAGCCAGTAAGTTTGTGGTAATTTGGCTAGAGCAGCAATAGGAAATCAACACAGTCTCCAACAGAAAACCTATAACCACAAACTCTTCTTCTGGCTCATTCACTCTCCCAGCACACCTAACTCTCTTCTCACAACTGATTATCTCTCTCCTGGCTTTATTTGTTTTACTAGATACCAAGACATCATGGTTTTAAGTTTTGACAGCTCTATTCTCAGAATGTCAAGGTCTTAACCACTTATCCGTTTATTTCATCTACTCTGAAACATCAAATGTTGCAAAAGACCAACTTCCTGCTTTCTTCTCTCCTATACTGAAAATGCTAAATGTCACAGGAGAAAATAACTCAATATGTTTTGGTGTCTCTACAAACTCATATTTAACCTCTGATAGGCCCTCAATCCTTCTTTATTCTTTTACATGACCTTCATTCGTTCCTTCTTTTAATTCTCATAGCGGTAATTCCAAACCGTCAATTCTTCCCAAGTCACCTGCCCCATCAGTACCCCTCTCTTTAGTCAAGTTACTTTGACTTCTATTTTTGAGAGAAAATCAAGGTGTGGCATGAGCTGTCTCCAGCATGACCTCTTGCTGCAGTCCCCCTTGTTTTTATTGTCCCTGCTGCTTCTGCCTAAAAGTCCTTCTTTTCCTCTTCCCCTTGCTCTCCCTAACCTACATTACTTAAAATAACTTTCTTCTTTTTCTTTTTCCAATTTAAGGTTAAACTTTATTGGCACCACCCAATTCCCCAGCTGCCACCCCTCCTTTGTGTTCCCGTTTTATTGTATAAACATCTATTGCAACTATCATACCACATGTGATAATGCTCAATTACATTTACCTATTTATGTGTCTCTCTCCTTTAACTAGACTGAGAATCCCTTGAGATGACTTACAGTGTCTTATTTGTCTTGTTATTCCCAGCATTCTTGCACTATGCCTATAATCTTTTGAAAAAAAAATAAGAAGAAGGAAAGAAGGACTATCAAGATGGTGAATGATGTGGCCAAATAGTCAGTCTCTCCCCATCACATATGAGGACTGATCAAAAGATACGGTGAATGTTTAAATTTAAAAAAAATTATTACAGTAAAAAACACATTGCCATTAATCCTCCTCAAAATACTGCCCTCGCTTTGAACACACTTACCCCATCATTCTTGCGACTTTCTGAAGCAGTTCTGGAAGTCCTCTTTTGTGAGTGTCTTTACTTCATCCTCCATCATGACAATGCTTTGTGTCACACATTGCTTCTGGAATGGCAATTTCTGTCAAATAAAAACATTACGGTGTGTCTTCATTCACCTTATTAACCTGATCTGGCACCGTGCAGCTTCTGGTTCTTCCCCAAAGTTAAATGACCATGAAAGGTAAACATTTTGAATCAATTTAGGACATTGAGGCAGCCACAACTAAAGACATTCATAAAAGAGGACTTCTAGAACTGCTTCAGAAAGTGGCAAGAGCGATGAGACAAATGTGTTCAAAGTGAGGTGGATTAATGGCCATGTGTCTTTTACTGTAATACTTTTTTTTAAACATTCACTGTTTAAACATTCTTGATCATACCTTGTACACACACCATCACCACCACCAAACATCAGGCCTGCCTCTCACCTCTTCCTAGTAATTAGCCTGTTTGGAGACTGGGGTTTGCCCCAGACCCCTAGGCATAAACTCACACCAATCAAAATGACAAGTTCACTGGCATGTTCATTTGAAAGCCCTGCATCATCAAATCCACTTCAAAATCAGGAAGGCACTCTTGGCTACCTTGGTGCTTCAGACCATCTGGTCAGGTGGCACAGCGCCCACTTACAAGGTCAGTTTCTTACTTCCTTGAACATTCCAGATTATGCTGCAGAGTAAACTTTCTCTCTGAACTGTCTTGGAGAAGTCTTCAGAATCATTGTCAGTTCCGCCCTTACCAACTCTTTATTTTAGTTCTCAGTTGGGTAGCAGGGATATTTCTCCCAAGCATCATTGTGATCTTCTAACTGCCCCCAGGCACCATGAGTTGGTCTGGCAGGGTAAATGCAGGCACTACCCACTTCTTATGTTCATTTTTGTGGGAAGGAGAGCAGTAGTGAAGAGTGGCCAGCATTCTGGGATCTCAGAAATGCTGGAAATACTGACTAGCATTCTGGAATCTCAGGGATGTGCCCAGTCTGCTTCATGAACACTTTGATCCTAAATCAAACTTTATGCTTTAGTAATGAGAGTCACGAATTATGTCCTGCATCTAAATGATGGTTCTGTCTGCATTGAAAAATAATCATAATAAAATATCTTTACCCCAACAGTAGAAATGGAGATGAGAGTAGAAGCGAAAATATGCTTTTCGTTGGCACAATTTTTTGTTTGAGTTTGCCTGAAGATTCCTCTAAGTACCTGGAGACTAACGCTATAATGATGAAAGGCTGCCAAAGCATGGAGAATGCTGAAAATGGGCAACCATAGGCAGCTCTATACAAATGATGTACATCCTGTGCCAAAATAAAAAGTATAGTCACATTGCAGACAGAGCTCCTAGGGACCAAGATGGGAAAGGAAGCCAGTTTCACATGAAACCAAAACAAATAATGTTACACATGGTCAGATATTTAATCTTCCTATAGGGATTTTGTCTGTTTAGACAACTAAAGGAAAATTTACTAAAATCAAAAACAAGGTCTCTCTTGACCACTGCAACCCACAGTGATCTTTCATTCCCCTGAATACGTATAAGATTTTGCATTATACTATATCCCATACTGATTTGCATTGTTAAATACCCACTCACCATTGAAAAACTCCTCTCCCCAATTAGCTGCAAGGTCCTTGAGGAGAAGTGCCCCGTGGAGGCGCACACTACCTATCACAATGATTGATTATAGAAGATGCTCAAAGTATTTATTTGCTTGGGTAATGCCACAAGCAAATAATTCCAAATCACAAATATGATTTTGCTATACAGTATATGAAAATTAAGGAATAAATCTATCTCTGTATGAGTGTTACATGCCTTGTATTCTGCAATTCCTGAGAACAAGTTCAGAGAGCTGAGTATTGAGGATGGCGGGGGTGGGGGCGGGGGGCTGGCGCTGTTGAGGGAAGCAGGATGAATAGTATTAATAAAATGCGTCAGGCCACTGAAAAAATGAAAATAAACTGAATTATTAAGAGTTTTTCCTAAGCAGTCAAAGGCGTTTGCTGATCTCATTTAATAAGTGGATCTGGAACTCTGAGTTTCTGAGAGTTCCTTACCTTGGAAATTTGGGCACACTCTTAGCGACCACCCGCTATGCACTCCATTCAGGTTCTGAGGCCAATTTGCAATAGGGCTGTAACAACGGCGCCTCAACAGCAGGGGGCGCCAGGCAGCGCCGAGCCTCGAGGCGCGCGGCCGCTCTCCCAGCATGCCTTGCTCTCACCGACTGCGACCCGGAAGATGTTGCCGCCGGCCGCCGGCCGGCGTCCCTGGCGGAATCCCGGCTGCGCAGCGCAGTTGCCCGGCCGGGCTGCCCCAGCCCGGCGGAGGTCTTCTGCGAGGCCCGCGGAGGAGACACTGTTGAGCAGCTACACGCCCGGTCTGTATCAGGGCGCGCCGCCCCGCCCCGGCGGTGTGTAACGCGATCCTGTCGGTCCCAGTCCTTGGCGTCTGTAAGTGTTCGGGGAGGGATCTTTTAAAGCCCTGCACCGCCCTCCTGAGGCAGCGCAGAGGCCCTCCGACGCCGGCATTATGAAGGCCGCGGAGTTTTCCTCGAGGGCAGCGTGTCCTCCTGAAGGGGCTGGAGCGAGGGCGCGAAGCAGAGCTGCGGCTGTCGCTTTGCGGTGCCGGTAGGACGTCGAGCGCCAGAACCGCGGACGGGGCGCCGAATCACAACGCAGATTTCCTCGTATCCGGGACACAGTTATGCCCCATTCCCTAACTCCGAAGTAAAGTAGAAAGAGGGTTGTCGCCTGGGGCTGCCCCCTGGCCCTTGCAGCCATGAAGGCAGAGGCACCGTCCTCGTTAAAGGAGACCCCGGGTTTGTCCAGCTGTGGCCTCATTAACCTGCTCAGTCGCCGGAAGCTAATGGCTGTGGGGTTTGTGCTCAGCTGGCTCATGGTCGTCTACTTTCTGGTCAGTGTGTGGCTTCTCTGCCTTTTGTCCGCGTTGCTGGTGGTGCTGGGAGGATGGCTGGGTTCAGACGCCATTGTGGGAGCTACAGGTCGACTGCACCTGGAGCGCTTCATCCCAATGGCCATCTGTCCTCCAGACCCCGAAGCCGAGCGACAGCTTGAACAGGAGATCAATCGCACCATCCATCTGGTTATTCGGGACTTTGTGTCATCCTGGTATCGCTCAGTGAGCCAGGAGCCAGCCTTCGAGGAAGAGATGGAGGCGGCCATGAGAGGGTTGGCCCATGAGCTGCGGAGGAGGATGGGCATGGTGGACAGGCATGCTCTTGCCCAGAGGGTTCTGACTCTCTGTGGCTGTCACCTGCAGAGCTATATTCAGGCAAAGGAGGCCACAGCGGGGAAGCGGAGTGGTACAGTGGAGCCCTCCCAACTCTGGGAGGCTTACTGCCAGGCTGCTGCCCCACATCCTGCTGTAGAAAGCCCCAGTGCTGAGGTCACCTATACACGTGGCATAGTGAATTTGTTGCTTCAAGGACTAGTGCCAAAGCCCCACTTGGAGACCCGGACAGGACGCCATGTGGTGGTCGAACTCATTACTTGCAATGTGGTCTTACCACTGATCAGCAAGTTGTCAGATCCTGACTGGATCCACCTTGTAATTGTGGGCATCTTTTCCAAGGCCAGAAATCATCCAGCACTCAGCCCAGCCAGTGCCCCAGAGCAGCCCTCAGTGCCCACATCTTTGCCACTGATTGCTGAGGCACAGAGTCTGCCAGAAGTGAGAGCCCCTTCTCCAGCAGCCGCCCCAGTGCTCCTAAACTGTAATGAGTCAGAGGGACCTTCATGCCCCTCCCCAGACGTTGAAGAAGGCCATGAAGCTGTAGAGGGAGATTTGGGTGCAATACCAGAAGAAAGAAAAGTAGGAAACAATTCGTCTCATTTCCTACAACCAGATATCCGAGGCCCTCTGTTCTTATGTGAAGACACAGAGCTGGAGTCCCCATTGTCTGAACTGGGCAAAGAAACCATCATGCTCATGACCCCAGGCAACTTCCTCTCTGAGAGGATCCAGGATGCCCTGTGTGCCCTAGGGGGTTCCCAGTCTCTGGAGTGTAAAGATGGTGAGGGATCTGAAGGAGCGGAGGCCGAGGAAGTTCCAGGAACAGAAACAGAGACAGGCTTGTTGGTCTCCATGCTGAATTCTTGCCCAGAGATCCAGATTGATACAGCAGACAAGGAGGTAGAGCAAGGGGATGTTACCTCTCTTACAACATTGCTGGCGAGCCCAGAAAGGACCTGCCCGCCACGACCCTCATGCTTAGAGAAGGAACTTACCGATGGTGTCAGCTCCCTAGATCCTAGTCTGCCACATGTTCTGCTTTCCTCATCTCCAACTGGTCCTCTCAGCTCAGCCACCTTCAGCTTTGAGCCCCTGAGCAGTCCAGATGGCCCAGTTGTCATCCAGAACCTGCGCATCACTGGCACCATTACTGCTCGAGAGCACAGTGGCACTGGATTCCACCCCTATACGCTCTACACAGTGAAGGTAACAGGATTGATTAGAACTGGTCACCCACTCTGAGCTTGGAGTCAGTTTGGAAAGCAGAGTCCGTGAGCTAGTGTAAGGGAGAGAGGCTGCTCTTACTTTGTTTGCTATGAGTCTGAAGCTCATTTGTAAAGCAGAGTGGGCTTCTATCCAATATTCACACAAACAATCCTAGAATCTTAGGGTGGTCGAGATACTGAGGGTCATATTTTTTAGTGGTTCCCAATGTATAGAGCCTTGTCCAGAAATTCTCTTTCCAAACTTCTTCCTTGCTCATTTCTTTCTTTTTTAAAATGCTGCTATCTTTTGTATTTTGTTTTATGAAGAAAGGTTATGTGCTTATATAGACCTTGGAAGACAGCAAATTCATCATTCCTAGAGATGTTTAAGCACAGAAGTGGGAACTACTTTGCAGAAATGATATAAAGGGGATTCATATACCAGATGGCTGTTTTGGTTAGAGCAACAGTTCCTTAAAATTGGTGTTAGAACAGGCTGCCTCCAAATCTGGAGAGTTTTATTTTTAAACAAATCCTGGGACCCTGTTTTGGAAATTCTCATTCAGAATCCATCAGAGTCTATCAGATCTGTATATTTAAAAAGAAGCCCGGGGCCCACCGAGTGGCCCAGTTGGTTAAGAGTTGGCTTGGGAGCGCGAGCTCTGAGCAGCAGGGCTGCCAGTTTGATTCCCACATGGGCCTGTGACACTGCGCCCTCTACAGCTAAGATTGTGAACAACAGCTTGACCTGGAGCTGGGCTGCCATGAGTGGCCAGCGACGCTGTAGGCTGCAGTAGGCTGCTGTAAGATACCGTGAGCGGCCGTCCAATGGCTGGCAACCCATCTGCCTCAGCCGGGAAGAGCGCAGTGATCATAGTAATACCAACATGGGCCAGTGAAGTGGTGTCCTCCACAACTAGACTGAAGAACAAAAGGACAGCAATTTGTCTGTTCCCTTGCCCTGATTCTCCAATGCTGTTCCCCTCCTCCAACTCCCCAATAAAAAAAATCTTAAAAAAAAAAAAAGAAGCCCAAATAACTTTGAAGAGCAGCCACATTTGGGAATTAATCAGTATTGAAGAGTGTCCTTCAAGGACTAGAATATTTCACAGAAAGCATTATAACTCCAAGGTGCTCTAAGTTTGAGAGCCTCACCCAGAATTCCACCTGTGTCTCTTACCTAGGCATTTTACTGGTTTGAAGGACTATTTTGCTCATGTCAGCTCATAATGAATACGCTTCTCTTTCTTTCTGGCTCTAGAAAATTTTAAAACATCAGCCTCAAGCCCCACCAGTATGGAGATTGTTTCTTCCATCACTTGCCACAGTATGATAAAATCAACCAAACAATGGTAACCTGCTCCTAATGAGAACAAATACATATATAGTTCTTCCACAGTATTTCTTTGTATTTTAACTACTCAGTCAGAAAGTCTTCGCCTGGACAAAGTTGCAGCTTTCATGCTGTTCAGACTTTGTCTCTGGGGGAGCATACAGTACAAGTTGTCTTTTCCCACATACTGGCCCTCCAAGCATATGAAGACAGCAAACCTTGACCCCTTGCAACATTTCCAATCTTCACATGACTTCTAATCATACAGATGATGTGTACATAGAAAAAAACAATTCATTTTAGCTCCAAGAATAATAATCTGCCCTGAGCAAAACAAAAACTTATGTCCCTTTAATGCATTCCAGGCAAACAAATTATTTTTGTTCATCAGCTGTTTTGAATAATTTGTTCTGCCTCCAACTAATGTAGATAATTACAGGTTGATTATAATGGCAAAATGGTTATACCCTTAAAACGTCAAACCCCATAATTTAGGGGTGAAAGGGAGTGTCATTTTTATCAGTGTTATAGCTTCTGTTTTATGCCCTGTCTTTAGAACTCGAAAAACAGTTACGCAATCATTTTTATAAGTGAAAGTAAAGTGCAAGGAGGAGCTTTGAGATGGAAGTAGTGGAGGGTAGTAAAACTCACTTTTTACTTTCAAGGCCAATGTATGTTGGGAAATGCATCTCATTCCTTCATTCAGCCTCTCTTGGAATTTGAGTTCATTACAATTGAGAGCAGCAATCAGATCTAGTAGGTTCAGGAACAGAATAAGAACATCTCCCTTCCTTTACCCCTATTGTGCTTTTACTGCATGGCAATTGAGCTGATGCAGTAAACAAATTTGTTCATTCAACAGTATGAGACGGCCCTTGATGGTGAGAACAGCAGCGGCCTGCAGCAGCTGGCCTACCACACTGTGAATCGTCGCTACCGCGAGTTTCTGAATCTGCAGACCCGTCTGGAGGAGAAATCAGATCTACGAAAGTTCATCAAAAGTCAGGAGTTTCCCCAGCCCTGAACTGCCTGCTTGCTTTTCACATCTAGCCACTCTGATCTGAGAGGCTGGTGGCCTACTGTTTTGTGAGGAGGGATGGAGGAGGAGAATGCAGCCCCAGGGGTCTTTTGTGCTCCCTCCATTTTGCATACACTTGGATGGGTTTTAGTGCTGGACAGCAGTGGTCATATTCTGAGGTACTCCTTTGCCCCTGAATGCTTTGTTCTGGAGTCCCCTTTAGTTTAAGAAAGAAACTTTTCCACTTACATCGACGAGGTTGCCTGAGGAGTTAAACTAACTTTTCCAGATTCATAGATTGATTGCTCTTAAATATTAAAATATCCAGAAATCCTTGCCCACTTCCCTTTAACAACCAGGCTTTTTTATGTGTGCTGTAAGCACAGGGACAATAAGAAAATATAATAAAATTTAACGGTAAATATAAGCTAGTAAGCAGCTACTTTTTAAAACAAGCTGATGGTCACCCAAATAAACATTTTAATAAGTCTAGGCATAAATTATAGATTTCAATTATGCATTTTCTTTCGTAATAACAATAGCTAATACTGAGCCAAGCTCAAAATATGTGCCAGGGTCTCTTCTAAGCACTTTACACATATTAGCTCATTGAATTCTCATCACAGCGTATGAGATAAATACTATTATTAGCCTCATTTTACAGAAAAGAAAGTCAAAGAAAGGTTAAGCAACTTACCTAAAGTCATTACTATAGGAGGAATTAGAGCCTCAATGTAAACTTGGACAATTGGACTTCAGGGCCCTCCTTTGTTTGGCCTCTTACAACTTAATATTACAATAACAGGAGTAAGTTGTGTGTATTATATCCCTGGAGTATATTTGGAAATCCTGAAATAAAAAAATCCCAGGGAAATATATTCAAATAGTTACATTTTTTGTGTTTTTGTTTTTGTTTTTACACAGATGACATATTTTATGTGTAACAGCGCTCAGTGAATGTTAAGTGAATGAACTTTTTTTCTTTTTTTTAAAAAAGATGTGAAGGGTCCTAAAAAGCTCTTTCCAGATCTTCCATTTGGAAACATGGACAGTGACAGAGTAGAAGCCCGTAAGAGCCTCCTGGAATCATTCCTAAAGGTCAGTATCCTTCTGTTGGGGCTGTGCTTTAACTCTACACCCAGACTCCCAAGCCAAGGTATAGAGATCTGGGGACTAGAATTTCTCTTTGAAGTCCTTCTTGTGTCTTTTGCAGCAACTCTGTGCCATTCCTGAAATCGCTAACAGTGAGGAGGTACAGGAGTTCCTTGCTCTGAACACAGATGCTCGTATTGCCTTTGTCAAGAAACCGTTCATGGTCTCCAGAATAGACAAGGTACCAGCAGGGCCACTGTGCTTAGCCTTAGTTTGTCATCAGAGTGGAGGTAGTGCTTGAAAAATAAGGACATTGGGTGGTGGTGAGTGGCAGCACAGAGGAGTCAATAGAACATGGACTGCAATTTTCAGCTAGACCTGTTCCCAAATATTGGTTGGATCATCAGCTTGCTGAATTACAGTGAGCAACTATGAGGGTACAACACCCTTGACACTATAAGTGTACACCATATCCCCTGTCGTTATCATGACTAGTTTAGTGGAGGTATGTAAGGGTAGATCTATACCTCCATAGATAGATGAGGGCCAGAAGGTCTCTTCTGGAGGTGAAGGTCATTCCCAGTATTGGTCACTCAGGAAAGAGAGCCCTAAGACAGAACACTAAACTGGATTTAGATTGATGTAGTGATTCTCTGCTGGAGAACAGCAGGGGAAGACTTGCACCTTCTTCAAGAGGCTATTTCAGGACCTTTGGAGATGGTTGGAGAACATTTATATACCCCATTAAAGCCTACAAGCAATGATTACCAACTGATTTTATAGTCCCCAAGGCAGATGTTTGAGTTTATCAAAAGATGGCATATGTTTTAAAAGGTTGGAAAACACTGACTCATTGGCAGAAGAGGGGCCTCACTCTTCTCATCTAGACTTCAGGGGACAAAATGATAATATGGAATTTCATGTGGTAGGAGTTAGGAGACATTCACTGCTATGAGGAAAGAACTGCAAACTATTGTAGAAAGTGATACACAAGCTAAAATCTGCAGTGTTCCATGCAGATGCGTTCATTCATTGATTCTTCAGCATCTGCTTACTGATTGCCTGTTTAAAGCTATGACCTGTACTAGTTGCATGTGATACAATAGTGAACAAGACAGAATAGGACACTCCCTACAGACTACAATGTTGTGAGCCTAGAGAGTAAGTTCTATTTTCTAAGCTACGTTATGCATGTTCATGCTACCTTTTGTGTTCTTTCTCTGGTTGTTGTGCCCTAGTCTTTAGTGTATTCTTACTCCACCATTCCAGCCATGTCTTAGCTGAGCTAGCTGTGCTCCTTGTAGAGGGTTAACACAAGAGTAAGTTAAAGACATCATGGTGCTGCTCTGAGCTGGCAGAATTAATTAGTGAGAGGCACCAAAGGAAAAGTTTGTGTTTCTTCAATATTTTAGGGCTTCATTTGTTTGTACAAATTTTCCTTTTTAGCAAATATCTATATGTCATTTTCCTATTCTGAAAAATAGAGATAATTCTTACTTTTCATTGAAGATTGTTTTATTTAGTCTTTATGAGTAGAGAAGTTTACATCAACTTCAGATTCCTTAATTTTACCTGAGTTATTTTTGTTATCCTTTTTGTACTTGAAGAAGAGGGATTGTTTGAATTAACTGGAAAAGCCAGTTTTTTACTCTCTGAATTACTGAGCATGTTTACATTATATATGCCTCTAGACTATATTTCTTATTTTGATAATCTTCATTCTCCATATATTCCTGCCTTATTACTTCTACTTATTCACATCTTGGTGAAAGGATCATCAATTTGGAAACTAAAAATCATTCTTCTATATACAGAGAAAGAAATTGAAAATGAAAAGCATTTCACCAGCTTGCAGAACTCCCAGGTTTTTATTTATCCCATTGTTTTTTTCGGTTTCTTTTCCCATGGCATTGTTTGTCTTAAGTCTGTGAGAAAGAAGATTTTTATGGCCGTAGAGAAACGGGAGGATAGCTGCCACTAAGTCATTAGCTGGTGTCTGACTACACTGATAGCTAAGAGTACACTAGACAGCCTGGCTGTCTGCCCGACCTGACTGCATAAAGCACCATGAGAAAACTGCTTATTCGGTGCTTTCTCTCTGACCCTGCACCTCTGACCCCTGCAGATGGTGGTGAGTGCTATCGTGGACACCTTGAAGACAGCGTTTCCTCGCTCTGAACCCCAGAGCCCCACAGAGGAGCTGAGTGAGGCCGAAACAGAAAGCAAGCCTCAGACAGAAGGCAAGAAGGCTAGCAAGTGAGAAGCCCATCAGTCACCCAGGGACCCTTTCCCAACTCTCAGGTTGATTGATCTCCAATCCTCAGCCAAAGCCCATCCCTAACTCTCAGCCCCAGAAAAGAGGAGGTGGGTCAGATATACCAGTTTTTATGCAAAGCCAGACCTCAGACTCCTTAATGCTCATCCCAAAACAGCCTGAGATCCTGCATAAACAGCCCTGCTGAATGTTTGTCTTGCCATGGGAACCCAGGACCCAGACTGACCAGGGATTTTTGACTAGAAGGAAAACTCTAGAATATGTATATTCTCCTTTTTTATTTTCCTGGAAAATTGAGATGTTTCACTCCTATTAAGAATTAAGTCTTAGAACTGATCTCTATTTACCATCATTTCTGGAAATTTTGGTTTAGAAGTTGCATATATTAGCAATGAACAGTAAAGGACTAGAATGGATACCTGCAGGGCCCATTTTAGTAACTGGTATTGCTGCTATTCTGCACCACGGTCCCAGATGTTCCCTGGTAGTACTCAAAGCCAACATGTGGAAGGGAAGGGCACCATACTTAACCTTACTGGAAACGTCATATCTGTATCTTGACCATTATGGAGTCAGAGAAAATGTGGGGGCTTGAGGGATGAAGAGTGTTTGTATCTGTGTGTGTGTGTGTGTGTGTTTGACTGATTAACTGTCTGTGTTCATGTTTCATGGGCTAGCACTAACAGACTCACAGTTCTTAGCCTTTTCAGGCTATATGTGTGTCTGTCAGTCTGACTAATTGTCTTTGTCTCTATGTTCATGTTTCACAGGCCAGCAATAACACAAGTCTTAGCCTTTTTTTACTGGGCCCATACTTTGAAGGGGGACCATGGGCCTGTGCTAGTCTTTGAAACACTGAGGTTAGCCCTTGTGGTCCTGTCCCTGGTTTTATTTGGAACACAAGGGGAATTAGTGGATATGCAAAAAGGGTACTGACAGCAATGACAAAAAGTTAGACTATGCTACTTGTCCATTTAATCTTCAACACATTTTTAATGAGTATGTTGTATGTGCTAGCTACTCTTTTAGCCTATGGGAATACAACCATGACAGACTGGTTCCTATTTTACATTAGCAAAAGCCCTCACAAATGCACTGTAGACATAGCTTAGTACAAGAGGTGCACTACATATTAAGAATTTCCAGAATATATATTTTCTGGGGTATTTCAGGACTAGGTCTCTCCTGGCAACTCTGACCACAGTAAACTCCCAGATCAAGTATAAGTGTTCTTGTTTTGAGGTGTTAACGCTTATGAGCCCTTTGTATGGGAATCTAGATCATGAATTATATTGTTTCTTTTGTTATTGTTTTCGTTTTCTATGCCAGGTCCAGACTGAGGTTCTCATCCAGTAAAATTGCTCCAACACTGAATATGACTGAAGCACATGAGAAGATTCTCTATTGTCTCCAGGAAGGCAATGTGGTAAGAAGTTCCTAGAGAACTCCTGGAATTAACACCTGGAATGTCGATCCTGCAACTGGGCACCTGAGACAGTCTCCAAGATCAGAAAGGACTTAAGTGCCTTACTAAAGGACTTAACCGACATCTAGATCTGTCACTTTTGTTCTAACAGTATTTTCTCCAAGTGGTTTGGAATTCCTACTAGTTCTAGGTTGGTAGGTTGGCTTCTCAAGGGGTATGGGTATGGAACAAGGAATGACAGAACTTGAAGAAAAAGTTCCTGGAAGAGATAACGCAAAAGTGTTTGCAACAAATAACAATACAAAAGCAATACAAAGGCATTGTTTTACTTGCAATTTCAGTAAAAAATGAAAACTTTCCTAAGGTAGTCACAGAGTCAGTTGGGTTCTAAACTCATGATACTTTTTGCAGAGAAGGAACATGGAAAACCCTAAGTGCTTTGGTTGCTTTCCTTCTTCTGTATTCTTTGTGTGATATGCAGCTGGCTCTTTTTTCAGGAGGCAGAGATCCTATCCATGTCTGGGATGGAATCCTTCATTGAAAAACAGACAGAGGTACTAGAAACGCAGCAAGCCGAAGCCCCAGAAAAAGGTCCTGAACATATCCCCAAAGAATGTGTGGATGGTTACTTGTCAGGTACAGCCATGCCAGCCCAAGACCTCAGCAACAGTGATCCAGGCAAGTGACAAGATCTCTGCTACCACAGAGAAGGGAGCCAGTACACAATCCACTTGGGACTTATTATATTTGGGATTTGTCACTTTAATTTCTCTTCTGTTTAACTAAGCAAGCCATGTGTTAAACACCAGTGTTTGACATACTATGCTGAGTGCTGAAATGCAAAGAAGTCCCCAGAGCTGAGTTGAGCAGAGGAACAGGGCATGAAAACAGGGAGTCCCAATCCAGCAAGATAAGATCCATGCTTATAATATCATTATCTTCTGTGTGTGCTTTTTTCGCATGCTTTGGCATATCTTTGAACTACTCCCTTTATCTATGCCTGTGATACCACTTTCCTAGTCACTTCCTTCTCAGTCCCTTTTGTTGGCTCCATTATTAGCCTTCCATAGCTTTATTTTTGGTTCTGTTATTACTCCGCGCACGCACCCTCTGTAATCTCATTCATACTATTGACTTCAACTCCAACACATATGCTGTGATATCTAATATTAGGTATTGTATTTCTAACTGCCTACTGGAAATCTCCATTGAGATATACCATAGGGCAACTGAAATACAATATGTGCAAAATGAAATTCATCTTTTTTCCTGAATCTATTCCTTCTGTTTTATTTATTGTCATAGCAAGTGACACCACCTAGTTACCCATTGTAGAGCAGGAAGGGAGAAGAGGTGAGGACACTGTTCTCATAAGCATTTGAGGTAGGACAGTTTTGCTTCCCAGACGAATGCAAAGGAAAATTTTGGAGCCCTGGATATTAGTATGTTTGCTAAGCTAGAATTTATAAGTAATATTTTCTGTTCCACGAAGACATAGGCTTCTGCTGAAAATAAAGATCACAAAAACTTGTGGACGTCAACTTAACTATGTGAGAAATGGAGTTTACAACCCCATCTCTTCACACGTATCTCATTTGTTAAGTAATTGAAGTGTTTTGACATCAAAAGCATCAGAAAACTGTAAGAAATTATAAGAAGGAATGGGTAAAACAATGTAATTCTAGCTCAAGTTAAGCCTGTAAATTTTGAAGATCGTATCTCTGTAAAGGAATAGCTTATGCCTGAGCCTTTCTTCTAACCCTGAGAGACTCAAAATGCTCATTAATAGAAAATTTACCATTTTCTTCAAGAGACCTCGGTGCCTTGTTTGCTTTCTTATTTTTTTAACTGTTATAACTAATTGTCACCACATGGTGGCAGCTCTATGTAAATGTTAAACCTGAGAAAATACTAGAATTGAGGAGGGTGACTAAGACTCAGGATGGTGCTATTTCCCAAGGAACTAGTATCCCATCTCTGAACAAATTACTAGAAAGCAGACATACCAGCTCCATGCCCCCTTGAAATACAGTGCAGGGAAAAGAAAATATATATTGGATGGTATTAAAAAAGAAAATAGGTTTCATTTGCAGCAGATTTATGCAATTCTGAAGTCATTCATGTTCTAAAGAACCCTTAAGGAAAGAGAGCTTGGGCAAGCTAACCAAGAGATTACCCATTGGTCCTACTAACAGAATTATTGTTGATTAATTATAACATTAAATACAGCAGTAGCACCAGATAGCTAAGATTCATTCTGGAACATTATGTATTCCTGGGAAAGTCTCCTGGGAACCAAATCAGAAGTGACACAGGACCCCCTGAACAGGGTTAGAAAACAGATGCGTCCACCCATAAAATACACCTGTTTAGGAGACTTGAGCTTAGTGTGGGTGTGAGCTCACTTGTCGCCATTTCAGTCTTTGAAACAGGAAAGAAATCAGTAATTGCCATGGTATTTTACCAAAAGTGTAGTGCTTTTCCTAAAACCATGTGTTATCTCAAGATCAAATTAAAGCCTCCTGGATCCCAACCTAATAGCTCTGTGTAATGGAGATGCTTTCAAAACACTTTTTAAACAAGAGAATGGATCCCAAATCTGCTGCCCACAACATTTCCATGATGCTTTGTGGAGACGAGTAGAATACAAGTATGGAAGAGACTGGTCCTTGCCCGTTCCAGTTAGTCACCAGCTGTAAGCACTTAGTTGGAACAAAATATATTCAGCTCCTTGGAGGAAATACAAAAGAAACAGAAGCTAGGTAGGCAAAATAATTCCATGCAAAATCTTTTAGAAAGATAAAAAGTAATTACTAAGTGATTAAGGAACATAAAAGAATTGTAGAGAAATACAGAACCTATCACTGAACTTTTTAGATATGGAATAAACATCTCTTGACTTGAATTAAGAACTAAACGATTACAAAAATACGTGATGAGATAAACAAGGAGAAGACCCAGTGCATTGAAATATGTTCCTCAAACCTGGGTCTCTTCTGAGTTCCTTTTGATGCCTTTTCATTCCCCAGGAACAGAGACAGAGTTAGCTGACACAGCCCTAGATCTGCTCCTCTTGCTGCTAATGGAACAGTGGAGATGGCTATGTACAGAAAACATGCAGAGAGTTCTTCATCTTATCTTTGGGACCCTAATTCAGAGGTAAGACTGGTGAGTTCTTCAAATTGGACATGTGTTGGCTGTGGTGCCTAATTCTCCACTAGAAAGGGTAAGGGTAGAGTCCAGGAAACCTATCGCCATACGGGAAGATAGAGTCTCTGTTATAGGGGTACAGGGACGAAGACTGCTTGGAGAGTATCAAAAAGCTTTGATTAATCACCTTGTTGTCTAAAGTTTGAACGAGTCTGCTTCTGCAAGACTTCTGGTAGTAATCTACTGAGTTACAGACACTGCCTGTGATCTTAAAGTACTTCAACTGAACTCTTCTTAACTCCAGGATCAATCTTCACCCGTTATACTCCCAAGCCCTTCCACCTTATTTCAGTGGACATTTCTTTTAAGTGACAAAATATAGTTACTGACAATAAAAATAAGAAAGACAAGGAGATAGGTGCTCTCAAAAGTTATTTTCAACGAAAGGGGTGTAAATATTCACAACTGAAGAAGTATGTACTGACCCAGGATGGTAAGGAATAGACAGATCCTTTGATTTAAAACTTGGATTTTATAATTCAGGTTTTGTGGTTCCCAACGTTACTTGAATCTCCTGAAAGATTTTTATACAGATGGAGTTTTTAGCTGCTAACTTCCTAAGCATGAAACTGATGCAAGCTTTGCTAAACTGAAGAAGGCCAGAGACACTGCCTCTGAACCAGACAAACACACATAGTGCTTGAGCTTTGGCCATTCTTGTTTTGATTTCTTTTTCATGAGACATCCTGGCAGATCACAAAGTAAGAAGCCAAGTCCTGACCTCTCCTGTTAGCATTGGCTTATGCTAATAGGCACTCCAAAACTAAAAACTTCTCTAAAAAACAGAATTATGTATATATTCTATAACATGTAGAAAATCCATTAACAAGCAGTTAAACCTCCCCTTCCATACTGAAAGTCACATAGAATCGGGGAGGCTTAATAAGCTTTAATCATAAAAAGACTAAGTGAAAGAAGAGGGTGCCTTTATATTTGCTGAGTGCTTATCATATGTCAGCATCTGATCTCTATTTATATATATTTTCTTACAGCAACCAAGTGAGGTAGGCTACTGCCACTTCTCTAATTATCTTGAACACACTGCAGTTATCAGGGATAGTACACCCATCTAGATTTAGATGCAGTTCCTCCTTACAATGTTACCATTTTCTAACCTCCAGCATTATCATCTCCAAAAGATAAGTTAATTTCTTCTGCTTCCAGCTTTGTTTACTCTCCTTGCTTCCTTAAAAAACCTATATACATAACTGCCTTGGACACCAGGGACTTCTGCCAAATCATAAGTGTTCATCCTCTCCCCGCCCCCCTCCCCCCTGCTCCCCATCCCTGTAGTTTGCCTTAAGATATAACCAGTGTCAGAAAGGGAATAAGAGAGAGAGAGAGAGAATTCAACCTCATGACCCTTGTTTCTAAGCCAAGGTTGGGAGAGTTCTGATCTGAGCCAGGCTTAATAAATCTCCCTTGATTGTTGCTGGTGTGGAGGAAGTGGGGGAGGGGAGCTGAGGAGAAGTTAGATACCCAAAAAAGGCATTGTTAAGTCAAAGGGGGAGTCTTGCATGCATGCGCGCCTGACCTCGTATGTCAGCTTCTGTGCTGGGAACGTCCAATTATGTAAGAAGGAGCACTCCTTATTTGGAATTAGAGACAAAGGGAGGGGAAGAAAGTGTAGGTAGCTGTCTAAGCCAAGGAGTGAATCCAGCTTGTGCTGACTGCTCGTATCAGAAAACAGAAGAAACTTGACAATACCCCTGCATGCTTCAGAATCAGGAAACTGGTCAAGTACACAGACATAGACTAGGTTGGAGGGAAAGAGAAGAGATGTACTGTGCTCTATTGATGGTAGGAGGTTTTGGGCAGCAAGATCCGGCCGAGGTAAGAGGTGAGGTTACTATGGAGTCCTGATATAGAGTGAAGGAATGAGAAGAAGCTGGACCAGTTCCCTCTCTGGATGCCCAGAACAGCGCCACGATAAAAATACGAGGCAGGCTAGCAGTAGAGTAGTTGAATGCCACGTCCCGTGGCTCTGCCCTCCCCATGGCCCCAAGATGGCATCAGAGTCTGTGTGAAAAGGGCAGCAGACACATTCCTGGCATCTGCGTCAGGATTTCTTAGTTAGAGTGAGAGTAAGAGAGAGACAGTGTGTATGTGTGTGTTGGGGGCACGTGGGAATGGAATGGTTTGACAAAAGGAGTAGGGTAAAAAGGAGAAGGTTCTGTGATCTGTGGGCAAAGGAGAGTAGAAAAGTATGTCAAGTCAGGGTGTGTAGAGACAGGAAGAAGAAAAGAAAGAATGTGTCGGGTTTAAGGAATCCATCAAGCAGTGGACTCAGGAGAAAATTAAATGGCAAGCTCTGGACCTTATGCCAGGCCATGAAATCATTTTCTTATGAAAGAGATCTCTCTACAAACCCTCTCCCAGGAAAGGTCAGGAGAAGGTTTGTTGACAGAAAGTATGGGACCATTGGAGAGTGCTGTACTACCAGGTGGAAGTGTTCATCTTCCTTAAGAACAGTTAGGAGTGGATAACCATGAACTCTTTTGCCTCTGCTAGTCCCTTAGGTTACTCCAGAATCTTAGATGTTCTGTGAGTGGAGTCCATTCAGGGGCCTTTTCTCTGTGGGCAGTCTCTCTAGCAGATGGATAAAAAGGGTCTTTCTGATATTGGTTGTATCTGAAGGGAAACTCCAGGCCTGCCACCAAAAGGGCACAAGCAATTTCAACAGGACAGGAACTGACATTTATTCAATACTAACTATATCAAGTAAGCAGCTATGTACTTTATGTGCTGTTGTACAGTGCATTTCTATGAGAGAGACATGTCTCTCATTTTACAGATGAGGAAAACTATATTCAGATTAAATAAGTGTCCCAGAATCATAGAACTAGTGAAGTCCACACCCAAGATTCCTCTTGTCACTCTGACCGCAAAACCCATGCATTGTCTACCACTCCATACCGCCTCCCCACTGTGCAAGCTTTCTCACTCGCAGTAGCCACTAGAACCAGCCTCACCGACAGTCCCTGTGCCTTATTCCCAACTGATCTCTCTTGCTTTCCATCTAACTGGCCTCAGGGACACATACATATGATGGTAGCATATAAATTCATTTCCATCTGCATATTCTGATTTCATTTTTTAAAGTACTCCTGGGTCAGAGATTGTATAGTCTTCCTTGGGTATCTCTCCTACATCCTGTTCCCATTCAGAAAAAGATAATCAGAGTTAACATTCATAGCTTCTCAGGAAACACAGATTACAGTTTTTTCTTTTGCTCCATAAACTTCTCTTTCTTTCAGTGTAGCCCTGGTGCCTTCTGGTATCTTACATCTGATCTCTCTCTATGCACAGGTTCTGTAGAAAACTCCTTACTTTTGCAAGAGCCCCAGATGCAAAATTATCTCAAACTAAGTCTTCAAATTTTCCTGTCGGGTTATTTCCTGGCCCTCAAATTGTTGACTAGGGCTGTTTTTATAGATGTTGAAAGTAAGTTTTTGCAGTAATGGCTTTGCTCTGGTTGTATTGTGCTTCCTGGGTGAAAGGAATGCTGCTTATCCCATGCCTCTTTCACTAGAACTTGACAAAGGGAAGCCCTTGACGTCTATAGACTGGGCCAGGATGGGTCCCAACAGTCTTTCCTGTTATATGACTGGCCTTCCTATCATATTGGGTTGTTGGAAAAGTCATGACGCATTTTTGTAATGAAAAACATAGAAAAAAATATGTCATGACTTTTCTGACAACCCAATATTTCTTAGGTGTCACGTAGTCTACATCCATCTTAGGATAAAGACGTCATACGTTTCCTATCGTGTACTGACAGTTTCTACTTGAATATATCTTTAACCCCTTTGCTGCAACAGTCAGATATATCCGAAAGAATATATCCTAAATTTTTATACACAAAAATAACGTGATTTATGTACAAAGCAGCTCAACTTGTTATTATTAAATGCATAAAATAATCAAAATATCACCTTTTTGTTTTTTGTGGATTTCTGACACATTTTGGAAGAAAAAAAATTGAAATCAATTAACGCAGTGAAAGAGTTAAGGTTGTAACAGCTGGGGTTAGCTGATTGGCTTTGTGACTGTGCATGCGTGTTGTGCACTTCTGTGTGTGGTGCCTGGTCTTAAATTCTCATACACTCAAACAGAGATACAGAATTGGTCATTGTAACAGTTAAGAAAATAACAATATCATGAGGTATTTAAACCTCAGAACCTTTTTTTCCAAGTCAAGTTATTGGTGTCTCTTGCCCATCTGTAACTACTAATACGAACCCAAGACAGTTTTTGAGGACAGTTTCAGACTGCACATCTTGAGAGCAGGGACTGTGTCTTATTCACCATTCTATTGCAAGCACCTAGCAGTCTACATGGAAGGCACTTAATAAATTTGTGTCAAAGGAATGAATATTACATACCATTCCAATGGAATCAATCCCTCTGCTCATCACTAGTGAGAATCTCAGGGATTCTTAACAGCTCCTGGGGACAAGAAACTCAAATGTAAACTGAATCTCTTAACATCCCTCCCCTACAGCTCTTTAATGGGACAACTCCAATTTCCAGAGCCACGTTTGGGCCTGAGCAAAGAGGTGTTTCCTTTGGGTTTCCTTTGGGCCCTTCAGGTCATCTCCCATTCTAGTGGCACCCTCCCAAAGAACACAGTGCCCTCTTCCATCATGAGCCTCCTGCTCGGAGGCTCCACTTAAGCGTGTCCTCTCTGAAAGAATCTGCTGTTGTGCCTTCTTAACCTCTTTCCTTCCAGATAGGGAAATAAGAATATGAGCTTTGAAGTCAGACAGATGTGAGTTCAAATTTTGCTTTGTGGCTGTGTGACTTAGACCAAGTCACTTAACCTCTCTTTGCCTCAAGTTACTCTCCAAACGTGCCTAGCTCATGAAGTTGGTTAGAGGATAAGACATAATAAATGAAAGTCTTGATGTATGCCTGGCGCATGGTAGCCCTAAATAAATGTGAGTTCT